AATTGCTTTATTGCATGCAGAACTTAGAAATCCAGCCTTAAAGTTGCTAATATTTCAATGCAGAAACTTGCTAATGTTCCCCCATCTACGTCATCGCGTGACCACGCCCACCACCGGGAGTGATTTGACAAGATGGCTGTAAGGCAAAAAATTACAAGTTTTGACCCAAGATTTAGTACAGAAACAGTACTTTTTAATAATTTTAGCTATTTTTCCTATGATTCTTTCTTTATTATCAACTTATTTCAGGGAAAAAATTTTTTGGGTGCAGTTACCCTTTAAGGCTTTACTCTACACTATTAATAGTGATCTAGGTTATTTAATATTACACTCATTGTGTATGAGATTTATAAATAATTATGTTAAATCTAAAATAAAACATTTTGACTGACATTGAATGACATGATACACTTATATTTATGTATTATGTTCTGATTGTTCATAAATTACTGCTTTTTCTCTTTATTGTGACTCAGGATACATTTTATCAATTTCCTCTTTATATTTCTTAGCAGTGACACTTCTCTTTAGTTTCATTGTTGAAGTTAGTTCATTTCCTTCAATACTGAACTCAACTGGTAGTATAGTGAACTTCTACAATTTTAATAATAATAATAATAATAATAATAATAATAATAATAATAATAATAATAATAATAATAGAGTAATGAAATAATTATGCACGTATTTAACACATTAGTTCACAATGATGAATATTTTCAAGGGGTCAAATTTTAAGAATTAAAATGAATGGAGTGATTTCAAGTGAACCACATAATTTAAACATTTTCCAAAACCTTGTATCATTACAATTTCTTCCTCTTCTTATTAAAATAGATATAATCCACAATGAACACACATTACACATGTATAGTTACATGTACATGTACCCACTGCTTAAGTATACCTGAATGCGTGCAGCTCTGCTGATTGCCCTCTCATTAGCTCTCTCCATTCCTTCTTGTATCAACTGCTTAACAATATCATCATCTTTAGCCTCAGTAACTACATGTATCATACATAAGAGGATAAGGATCTTACTATGTAGCAATAATTACCAGTAGTTGATTGAGAGTTGTGTTGAGATAAAAGTGCTACAACAGAATCTGCTAAATTGTCAGTTGGACTTTGATTCTCATCAACCTGAAATAGAGAGAATGAGAGAGGTGAGCTAAAAATTGCTGGCAAAGTTTCTTAGAAATGCGGATAACTCAAAAAATAGCTATAAAACTTTTTACAAGTCATATCACAATAATTACATGTATAAATGTAATTTCCTTCAATATAATTATAATACACATACATGTATAAATTTTAAGAGAGGAGAGGGATTGAATGAGAGATTAAAGGATGTGATTTTTGCTTACTTTAACACGTAGTGTGACCAGCATTGTTAGATATTTCTTATCATCTCCAACCAACATTACATTACTAATGATAGGGACCTCCTCTTTAATACACTACATTAAAAATCATATAAATAGACGTAAAGTATACAATTTCAAATGAGAAATCATTGAATTAAGTGTGCATAAAAGTACAGGGTCTACAATACATTGTATGTACATGTACATGCATACATCTACATACTATAGTACAGGAAACACAGAGAGAGAGGAATAAAAAGAATACATATGGTACATGTATCACTCATATTACATCTTCAATAGGTACTGGTGCAATATTCTCTCCTCCTTTAGTTATTATTAACTCTTTCTTACGACCAGTAATATAATAAAAACCTAACAATAAATAATTAAAATTTTATAATTAATAATACACATGTAAATGTACATGTATATGCATAATTTAGTATTGAATGGAGTGAGAAAGAAAAAGATCAGAGTATAACAGAGAAGGAAAATTATAATGTATTTAATACAATGAGCCTCCAGATAATGGACACTTAGTTACAAGAAAGTGTCTATGTTATACAGAGGTGTCCTTTATGTGGAAGTTATTTTATACAGTAAGGAATGTAATTGTTTCACTAGGTGCTGTCCGTTAAATGGAGGTGTACGCTATAGAGAGTGTCCATTAAGAGAGACACTATATATACTTACCCTCTTCATCAACTCTCCCAATGTCTCCTGAGTGCAACCATCCTTCATCATCAATTGCCTCTTTTGTCTTCTCCTCGTTGTCAAGGTATCCCATAAATATGTTACGCCCACGGAAACAAATCTCACCATCTTCAGTCTCTGGATCGGGCTCAAATATCTTAACTTCTACTCCATTTAATGCCCGACCAACTGACGTAGGTTTATAATTATCTGAAGAATTAAAAAAAGAAAGAGAAAGAAAAATATCATTAGGGTATTATTAGGATATTATTAGTATTTAGGGGGTCAACTTGTCCTGATTAGGTTTGATCTGTGTGCCCCTTCAACTTTATTCATTTGAGTATTCTACTATAGCTATGCACTTCATTGCCCTCTAAAAATCATTATCAAATCATGATACTGACATTTGGCTGGTATTTAATTTAGTGGCTTTGATCTTTTAATATTAATATTAATAATTTAATCAGAAATTGAAGTTAGCGTGGACTTACATGTACATGTAAGTTAGCAATTTTTATAATCACTAAAATTCGCTAAATTAAATATCCGTTAACAATTGTTTCCTTAAGGTAGTTAATACAATGTACATGTACATGTGTAGCTGATTGAAAGCTTATCTGTTACCAAGAGTGTTCACAGTTGCTACTGATGAAGTTTCTGACATTCCATACAACTGCAATAGAGCAATATCAAACCAGCATAGAAATCAGTCACTGCTTTAGGTAAAGGGGCGACCCCTGAAATCTGTAGAGATAATTAATAAGTTATTATGATGACAATAATGTGAATATTGTGCTTACACAGAATCTGCATTGATCGAGTCCAAGTTTCTCTCTTAAATTTTTAAAAACAAGTCTGGAAAAAAACACAAAAACTAATATTAATAATATTATTAATGGTACAGTAGGTGCCATTTGATAGTATCACAAACTTCATAAAAGTCTGTGACAAATTACTTATTTACATGTACATGTATGTCACAAAGGTAAAAAAGATTTAAAATGTAGAAATATTAGTTTTTCAGATTATACTGTGTACCTGTTGGCCAGTCCATATCCAAACACAGATTGGTTGTTTCTGTTTATCTTATTCTCTTGACTTCTTTGACCAACTTCCTATTACAATGAACACACACAATAATACAAGCTACATGTAAGAATGGACTGTGATAGTAGTTGTGTGT